TCAGTTAAAAGGCTACAAATAGATGCAAAACAGACACACACTTAAAATTACCACACAGGGTTACAAAACTACCACAAAAGCATCCAAAGAGACAAAAAAACAAACAAATTTAAAACATAATTTGACTGCAAACAGCAATAGCAATTGTATTATATAACGCTTAAAGAAAAACAAATGTTCCAAAGCTTAATAATAGGTAATATGGGGAAACGTTACTGAGAACAACTTACAGTCAACTAGAAATAAGTTTGAACTGCTTGCACACACCTCTTACATGCCATTTATCATAAAACAGCAACACGTTTAATGCAGTGTGTGAACTTTGCTTCTGTTATTTATTCTTGACTGTATCACACTGAGATAATCCACCTCATTCAGAGACAGCATGCAGTGAGAAAGCCTCTAACAGGAGTGAATCCACAAGCTATCAGAGCAAAGTAAATGTAACTAAATCTGTTTCATTTCCCCTATCAAGGCAGCATTCAATCTCCTTAATAAACCTATTGCCAAGTCCTCTGTTTCTCTGTCTTGACATCCCGCTCTCTCCTCTCCCTCCATTAATACAGTAAATGCTTCAAACAAGTCATTTCCTTAGTGCATCTTAGCCATCTGTCTAAACAAATCTCTCATGCTTTCTACATGAGGAAGAAGCTGCAGGGTTTGGCTATGCCGCACAAAACCTTCACATTTGCAAGTAAAGTATACTGAAATCATTAAGGTATTTCATCCTCATCTTGCTGCATGAAGTTATCTGATTTTTGTGACAAATCACAACATCTATATATATCTAGGCACTAAACTACAGTATTTCACTAGTCAGGACCACACCCATGTGAAACCTTTGCTGATGCTTCTTGGTTTTGGAGGAAGGCTTCTGGTGAACCTACGCGGCACTCAGGTGATGTGGCTCCCCCATAGGAAGTCAGAAAAAACAGTAAGAAGGAAGAGGAGAGGTAGAGGAGTGTAGAAAAAAAAAATAGGACAGGTTAGACAGGAAGGGGTTTACGAGAGACGAAAGCACTCGGCATATGGAGATTGGGAACATTTAGAGAAACTGCATGTAGCAGGGTAAGGCGTGTGTTAGGGGCGTGGCCCTGCTCCTGAACCTCCGATCTTCATCTTCATTTAAGTTGTACAGAGACAATCCACATACACAGAGGTATCAATACCCATCAGTTAATCTCAGTGAGCCAGTGACTTCTCTTCCTGTTCTTAGTAACTTTGTGTACATAAATGCATGTGTCTTTATGTGGTACTTCTTTTAGGTTTGATTAAAAAAAACAAAAACAAACTTCTTTATCATTTGATCTAGCACCTGTAGGCAATGTGAGATGTCAGTGAATTGTCACCAAGGAGCTGCGTGACCAGTCATGTCACTTGCTGAGCAAGTCTCCTGCTCTTTTCTATTAATTTTAGGCCTGTTTTATTACTTGCTTGACACCGACTGGAAGATTAAAACACTCACAGGCTAAACAGTACACAATTTTTACATCACTACACACATACCCTTTATCCAGCTGTGACTATTACTGCACTTACATTTAACATTCTGCGTTTCCTTTTTAAATTGCAATGAATGTAAACCATGCAAACAGAATTGTTAGAAGCCGAAACTAAATGCATGACACTGGTACTTTGTCAATAAGAGAAATTTTAAAAAGCTGCCGTTTCCCTTTTTCCTTATTTACTGAAAGCGTGATCTGTCATCATGCAGCAGCCCACACATGCCTCATGTCTGACCACAGCAGCACTCAACAAAACATGCAATTTGTTGAATCAGCAGGGTGAAAAACCTGAATCTCTTGTTCCTTATTATCTGCCATGAGTTTGATTTGATTTGATTTGATTTATTCTTTCAAGCATGTAAAGACAGATATGTCAACACACATAATTTTACACATATCCAACAAATGCTAATCCAATATCAATTTGCTTATACCTAGTACATGCTTGAATGGAGTAGGAAGAAGTCAGACTTATCCAGTCCTACCCCATGACATCATCTTACCATCATTGGTTTGCAAGCAGTATCTCTACATAAATAATTATCTTCTACACCACACAAGTAATATACTAAAAAAATTATAACAGAGTGTTAACATTCTTACATAATTACATTCTTAAATAATTATCTTCTACACCACACAAGTAATATACTAAAGAATTATTACAAAGTGTTAACATTCATACACCACACCCACAATGTTCCATCTAATTAATCATTAAGCCTGTTCTTGCATATATCTTGATTGACACATACCTTTATATTTATGTTTAAACTCATCAATTCTAGTACTATTTTTT